ATAATAATAATAATAATGGAAACCACAGCCAAACGAAAACCTCCGTTACCTGCGCGGATTTTTTTGGGGAATGTCTTTAAATTCCCAGGTCGCCCTTTCCAGTGGCTGGCTCTTTTCCCCCCTGCTCCAATCTTCTTGTCGGGCCGCTTCGAGTTCCCGGTCGGCCGTCGCCTTAATTGTCACCGAGCCCACCTCGCGTCAAGCTCCTGGGAGTAAGAAATCTTTATTTAGTCATGCAGATGACACTGGGCCCTGCCGATTGGAAATGAGTCCAGAGGATTAAGACGAGGTTATTAATTGGAGGACTTCCCCTTTAAGAGTGATTGACGGGTTACTTTCGGGATCAGCCGTGGCTCTAAGTGTCTACTCCGGTTTATCCAGCAGAAGGGGCTAAGGGTTTCGGGGGGAAAGGAGGCGCCTAATGGGAAGGGGGTCCTCTTAATGATGCCGCACGCCTGGGTTGGATTGTCTCGGGCACAAAAGCGTCCCGCTGAAGTTTCTTCTTGATAATCCCCTCATTACAGGGCAGAAAGAGAGAGAGAGAAAAGGAGGGGGGCATTAGAATTAGAGGCCAAAGAAAAAGCAGAAGAAAATAAAATATGGGTGCACCACAGAGATTCCGGGGGGGGGGGAACGTCCCAAGGCTGAAACAATGTCCTTTGTTTTAGGGCAGAAGGGGGGAAAGAGGGGGAGAGGCGGGCAGGAGGTCCACCGACTCCATGATCATGAGACGTGGATCTGTGAATCCAGGTTTGGGAACAGCCGGGAGGATGGGGAATAGGCAAGAGTGTTCTGGACCATGTGCCGAGTTTTAAGAAGTGGCCTCGGCACCACCCGGCGGTCCATGGGAAAAAGGTCTCAAAGCGGTGCCCGAAGGATGTTTCGGAGAAGAAAAGAGGGGAGAGAGGTCACGGCCTCTCCTTGTTAACTCAGGCACGGTCTGGTGGGGCCATTGTTCCTTCGGAGGCCCGGCAAAAGCCCAGGAGAGGCGAGGGAGCGAGTTCGAGCCGGGTGGTGGTGGTGGTGGTGCATCTCTCCAGCTGACAGGGGAGGAAGTTTGCTCTCCCCCCCCCCTTGCTCTGGTCTGGCCCTCCGGGGGACCGGATCTGGCCCACCGAGCTTTCCCCCCTGGGGGCCCCCCCACCCGCTTTCCTGTCATCATTCAGTGTTTCTTAAGTCAAAAGTTTAAACTAAAAATCTGGCGTAAGAATTCGAACTCACCCCTTCCGCTCTTGGCCTGGCCGGCGACCCAGCGTCGTCCAAAATTCTGGAGAGGCAGCATCGATCCTTGGCGACGGTCCTCAGGCAGGTGTATCCGCGGTCCCACTCTGCACATCTCCTGCCTTCCTGTGTAAACCAGCCCCTTTCCTCAGGAAGCCATGAGGACTAGCATCTTGAGGGTGGTTTTTGTTGTTGTTTGTTGGCTTGTTTTAGAGAACGATTCCCCAGCTCAAGGCAACCCTACCTCAAATTCCTGCCGTTTAATAACAGTTCTCACCTCCTGGAACAAGGAAAGATCTTCCTTCTTCCCAGTAGCTGGAAAAGTTACTTTTTCCTGGCTCACACCCATAGAGCATTTTCAGGGAGTTGAAGCCTTACAAATAACTTCTCCAACCTCCAGGCTGTCATCTCCTCTTGGGTTAAATGAAGGAACAACCTGAGGTTCACATCGCATCAGACCACCTTATAAAATAGTGCTGAATTGACTCAACATCCAAAGGCCGTTTCTTCTGACCCTGCATACAGGTGCAGTTTTGAAAAGACTTATTTATTTTCAACCTATTGTCAGTTTCGAATTCCCAATGATAAAGAAGCCCTACGCCACCATGACAGCAGAACCAAGTCCCTTAATGTGATGGACTGTGAATATTTTTAGCATTACAGCTTTGATTAATATATAATATATATAATTGCCCTTGGCCGATTCAAAATTTTCAAAAAAACACTCCTCCAAATCTGTTGGAGAAGGCAGGCGAGTACTACATGAGATGGGTCAGATGACGTTCTTAAACAAAACTGTCTCCCAAAATATCATGCAAGCCCTTTAAGATTCCAGGTTATTTTAACAAGAATGGGATGACGCAGTTTCAAAATGTTCTCAATGTGTATAAATCTCCCCCCTCCTCTCTTCTCACTTCCCAAAGACTGTCTCCTGCCCCATGTCCCTTCTATGGCTCTTCAAATCCACGCCAGTAGCCCAGTTGGGGGCGGGGCAGGAAAGCAAAGTGCCTCTGAGAGCGTACAGAGTCCCCACCCCGCCTCTCCAATCAATCTGCGTCACCTTCTTACAACCCCAGCGCTTTGGCCATCTGTTTCGGAGGAAACCCCCCCCCCCGGCTGGTCTCCCTTTAAATTCATTTTAATTAATTAAATTACGTTCCAATTATGTTAACTATCAAGGGGTAATAAGCCGCCCACCCGCGAGGCTCAGGGGACGGAGCGGAAACGGACATCCGATGGCAAACCGGCAATACCCACGGAGGCCGTTTTTAAAATCAAAACATTTGACCATATTTCATTTCAGTTGGCCTCCAGGAACAACCTTATTGTAGCAGTATTTTGCTCCTATTTGCTGAAAATGTGTTATCTAAATAGAATTTGATACCATGACACCCTTGGAAATTGACCTCATCTGCAAGGTTGCATTCTTATTTATCAGACTGAACGGTCAATGTTTTACAGGAAATTTCATACCACGGCTGGCATTTTAACTTTGTTTATCCTTCCCCACCCAGATTTATTTATGGCCTTTCCAGAAGCCAAGAGGATCTCCCAAGAAAGCACATATTTGAGCTAAAGGTGGTTCTTTTGTTTTTTACACCTGCCTACCTGTCAGGGTCATTTGGAAACTGGTGTACAGGTAAGGGAGGTTCTCTGCCCGCTTAAAGCTTGTAACAATAGCCCTGAGAGTCAGGTTGGGCACCCCAGTGGCTTGGTTCAAGAGGGACCAACTGGTGCAAAGACTGTCCGTACGTTTCATGTCACACGAGAAAACAAGCAAAGAAATAAACAAAAAGCAGCTTTTTTTCTCCCCCAAAACTTTGGTTCAGACCCTTTTGAAAAAGGAACAAGGCAGCATCGTGAAGACCACCCTTCTCCTAGCAAAAACGGCCTTAAGTGGACGACAGTGCCCATCGTCCACTACTCTCAGGGCCCAGAGAGGGGACTGAGTAGGAGCATGGGTTACTTAGTCCCAAACTTCCTGAGCAGGGTTAACAATCCATGGTCAGAAATTGGCAATTCACCAGCCACCTACATTGACGTGGGTACAAAGGCCAGAGCGATGGAGGTCAGGAACGGCCCTCTTGGCTGGGGAGCTGCCGACCCCGTTTGCCCTCGGCCCACCCCAGGGACGTGCAGGTTTAATTTTTTCTGCACCCTGGCCGGACAACGTAATCTTTCCCTTCCCGGCCTCGATGCCTTTAGGGTGTGTCACCTGTGCGGGTCTCGCACCCAGGCCGCACGCGGGGTGGGGGCAGGAGACGTAAAGACGGAAGCGACCAGAGGGGGGGTGCGTGATTATTTTAGACAAATTATGATAATGGACTTTGGAAGTCACTCGATTTCCTTCTTCGGGTCTCTGGCCACTCCACCGCTCCCCCCCCCGGGCATAATCGCTTCATCACTTTAAAATATTAATGCTATACTCTTTTGCTCTTTCCCCAATTACCCTAATTGAAGGCAAATTGGCTAACGAGGTGCCAGGCGGGGTATCAAGGGGTTTTAGTTCACTCCGATGACAGTTTTACATGGGGCTAAGCCTATTAGACACCAAAGCTGATCACGCTTAGAGAGACGCTGTGTCAGCTTACCGGGATGGAGAGGGGGGGTCCCCAAAGGATTTCAAGGGAGGGAAGATGGTGAGCACAGGGGTGAGCGTGTGTTGTTGTTGGGGGGGGGGAGAGATACAGGCCAGGAGCCGAACCTTGGCTTGAGAGTTGGGGAGGGTGGAGAAAGGAGGCCAGTGTGCATTGGAGGGGGAGGGTCTCAGAAAGACTTTTCGAGTTCACGGAGAGAGCTCAGAGTTCGCGACGGTCCCCCAAAATTCACACAAAGATTCGGCGTGGGGAAAGGGCTCAACCTCCCCCCCCCCACATCTGCCGTTGATGTCAATGCGGGGAGCCCCGCTTGGGGACGATTTGCTTCAGACTGTCCACACACATACCTAGAACCCTCCCCAAAAAAGCTCCTTTCGTAGGGCAAACTCACAGAATTTGCATCTGGCGATGCCAGGGTACAAACTGGTCCCACTTTCCAGGGACGAAGTCTGCTGCTGGAGGGGATCACCGGTCTCCCCCCCCCCTCCAGCCCAGCATCCTGCTTCTGAGAGGGGAGAGCCTGTCCCCAGAGCAAAGGAAAGCAGACCATTAAGAGGGCACCCCACAGGAAAATGTGTGAAGACGGCGGTGGTGGCAGTGGGCTTTCTTGTTCCACATTCTGGACCAGAGGGTCGAAAGTGGCATCTGTCAGGGGGAGGGCTCCTGAGCTTTGGGCTCTTGTGCTGGCCAAGGCCAGGTTCTGAGATGGTCTTTGGTGGCAACCCTAAGGGTCCCAATAATCATTTCAGTGCCTAGAATCAGAGACGGAGACCAGATCTTTTGAGGATCTCGCCAACACCGCCCGGGGAATGGAGGTCTCTAAATGGAGATTATTTTCCCCCCAAGCCCTGGTGTGCATGGGACTGAATTCTGCTTTTGCTCACCCACGGAACGACAGCCAACTGTANAACCCGCGGGGGGGGGGGGGGAAACATCACCCAGCACAGATATTCAAACGGCACACAAGATACATCCTGTTCCCACCCTCTTTGTCAGCGGCTGAAGCCCCGTCGAGTCCAGGGAGAGAAACGACCGTCTCTCTTTCCAGCCCCGTGTCCAATTTCTGAACCATCCCGGTCACGCAGAGGGCCTGGATTGAGAAGAAAGCTTGCAGAGATCCTTTGAAAAAGACCAAAACACCTAACGAATGACCTCAATTGGATTGCCAACTTTTCAGGTTGCCACATTGCGTAGCGCTTCTGCACTCGCCGAGCAAAATGCTCAGTTCAGCTTCACCATCTTAAGACTTTTTTGCAGGTTAAGGGTAGCCCAACCCACCCCAAAAGGCAAACAACTTGGACGGGTTCGGTTTCCGGGAGGGCAACCCCTATCACGCCGCGGATCCGAATGACCTCAATTGGATTGCCAACTTTTCAGGTTGCCACATTGCGTAGCGCTTCTGCACTCGCCGAGCAAAATGCTCAGTTCAGCTTCACCATCTTAAGACTTTTTTGCAGGTTAAGGGTAGCCCAACCCACCCCAAAAGGCAAACAACTTGGACGGGTTCGGTTTCCGGGAGGGCAACCCCTATCACGCCGCGGATCCGAAATGGCGGGCTTGCCGTCTGCCGACACACCTGTCCCAAATGAACCCGCCTCTCTTCATGAAGGGTGTCTTAGGAATCCAGATGGTTTTCACCCTGGCTTCGAACCAAATTGAATGGCCAGGCCTTTTTTTGGGGGGGGGGATCTTTCCCTGTTTCTTCCACCAACCCGGAGCCTCCCAAAGGAAGAGTTCTGTGGAACCCGAAAACAGGCAAGCTTGTGGTGGCCTTCGCTTTGCCAGCAAGGAAGGGATCACCAGCCCCGGGGGATTTTTTCCCCAAGACATGTGGACCTAAAAGGGTCCACTTTGGGGGTCTTAGGCCATGGGGGGAAACACAGCCCTCGGAGACAGTTTCCCCCCCACCCTCCGACACTTCCGTCGGCTGCTTACGTCCTGGGCATCCATTGCTCTCGAGGCCATCTTGGCACAGCTGCCAGGTTCTGCGACGAGCCATAATAATCCTCGCACGCCAACAGGGACCCTTATTGGCTCTGCTCAGCTTTGCGCGCTCACTCCTGGCCTGGATGTGGTTCTTCTTGGCAACGATACCCGAGGCCTGTCCCGACGGTCTTCCCCCAAAACAACGTCTTTTCGCAGGTGCAGGGCGATCCGAAACCCATTCCCGGGCAGCAAAGCAAGCGAGGAACTCAAACCCAGGGACAAGGCCCTTAATTAATATATATCGTTGACGTGCCTTCCGGACCGTTGGGACAGAAATGGGCTCGGGGGAAAGGTGTGTTGAGATATTCTCCTGGTTAATGAATCCCATCAGGTCCTATTAATTAGCTCATTGTTTCATTACTGATTCTTAATCTCGGGACCTTGGTGAAGATGAGAGAGAACGAGAAGATGAGAGATGGGGGGGGGAAGAGGAAGGAGACCAAGGGATCTTTGAAATGGGCCAGACCATCAAAGGTGATAGATAAAGCTTCTGTCTTTTCTATTCTTCTTTTTTGAGCAGGGAATGCAAAACGCAGGCACGCCTGATCCTTTCTTGGGTATCTAAGAGGGCCAAGCCTGTAACAGGGTGGAAGGAGCTTTTCCATTAAAAAAAACCCCACAAAACTTGAAACAATGAGATTTTTGAAAGGAGGAAGGAGAGAAAGGGTGGCCCGGTGGGTCAGATAGGCGGGGTATAAATAAAATAAATAAATAAATAAATAAAGAGGTACAACTCTCCAGACCATATCTGGAGGCTTGCCTGCTCCCATCACTTGGCTTAAGGGCCGAAGAGGTTGGCCAGCCGAAGCTCCTGTGGCAAGGAGTTCCACAACAGTGGAGTCAGCGCTAAAAACACAAAAACCAGCATGTCTTTTGGGCTCCATCAGCCTTAACGGGAGGCCCATGAAGAAGGTCTTAGTGTGAAGAGATGCAGGGGTTTTGCAGGCAGTCCCTTCAAATCACTCAGCCCCTAAACCTGTTAAGGCTTTAGTGACAGCCCCCAGGATTTTAAACTGTTCCTGTCGAAAGAAAAAAAAGAAAAGGCTTGAACAGAAAAGGTATCAGAACAAGGTTCTTTATGGACAACATGGCCCAGAATTCACCCTCTCCACACACCCCCCCAATGCCGGCTGGGGTCCTAACATTCAGACTTTAAATGCCATCTCCCTCCGGCTCGACAAAGCCGACAACCGGAAGGGGGGTTTCGTTGTGTTGGCACTAGGCAGGAAAAATCAGGGACTTTCCAAGCCACGATGAGGACTAGTTGCTTACTTTGAGCTCAGGTTCATTTCGCAAAACACCGAAAAGAAGGGGGGGGGAAGGGATCCCACAAGGAGACCCCGGTTTGCCGGAGGTGACAGGGGGTTGGATCGCCCACCCTTTCATTTCCTCCCCCCCCGCCCAGGCAGGAAATGACTTTGACATGTTTACTCGGCAGGTATGGCGAGGCTTAAAGGTAAAAGCAATGCCCACAGGAGGCCAACGGCTGTTCCGAGGGCTTAAGGCTTGTCTATTTTCGCGTGGACTAATCTCCCCGGATCTTCTGTCCCCAGCAGGCTAAGCTGAGTGAACCCTTTTAAAATATACTTCGGGATCGGAGGAACGAGGCAGCCGTGGAATGGGATCAGTGGGGGTGGGGTACCTGCCCTCCCCTCCCTCCACCAACATGGGGAATTTGCTCTGGTCTGGGGACCCTTTCCCCAATTCGTATCAGATGTAGGAGAGAAGAGCTAGAACGGGGAACTAAGGCCGCTGGGTGGGGGGACAAGGAGGTGGCAAGGGTGACGATGAGCCTGACCCACCGCCACCGATGGAAACATTTTGATGCCTGCCACGGCTCTAGTACTTATGGTCTCCAAGACTCAAAACCGTGGTTAGCACGGGATGCTCTTCAGAGCGGTTCTTCACGGGTAACGCTCTTAGGGGGAACGCATCTCCCCCTTAAGTGAACAGCTGTCAGGTGCAGACTGGACTAAGGGAGGAGGAAGGAAGGAGAAAGAAGGGAAAACATGCCTTGAGAAGAAAAGAAGGAAGGGATGGAAAGCTCAGGCATCTGGGGCTGTGAAGTCGGAGGTGGGGAGTCAGATTCACCACTCTGCCATTCTAATGGGATGATAAGTGCAAATACTGTATGTCGACAAACATCATGGCGTTTGGGGTTTATATATATGAAATAAAATGGTCACAAGAGGGGCCCTCAACCAGGCCCACACATTTGCTGCTGTGATTTTTAAATTTTTTTAAAGCAGCCCAGCTGCCTTTCCGGGCTGCTCCCCCCCCCCGGACTCGGCCACCGGCGTCTGTCGGCCACGCGGACACCTCGGGGTTATGGAGGTGCCAGAATCCAGCTCAGGGAGAGACACACAAGCAGATTAGACCCAAAGACCCGCGCGAGGATCGAAAATCTGGACCAGCGACAAGCCGGGGATTGGCGTGTGTGTGTGTGTGTGTGTGTGTGAGTGTGTGTGTGTGTGAGAGAGAGAGAGAGAGAGAGAGAGAGGAGACATACACACTCGCTCCCCTGTGTTGGGATCATTAATCTTTGCTGGGCTGAGCCAGTGGGATCACGAACAAGGAACGTGAGCCCCTCCATCTTTCCTAGGGAGTCACGGATCCCAGCGTGGGAAGAGCTAAATTGCCTGAAGGGAGTCAATGGCTCAGACACCCTTTCCCCGCCCCTCATTTTTGTCCCAAAATGAGTCCCATGGCCCCGAATTCCAGAAGTGAGGCTTTGTGTTAAAAGGGGTTCCTTGCTTTGATTATGGGAAATTTCAGGGACGATTCCTAGCATCGCCAGAGAGGGCGATGAGATACAGTGGTGCCTCACATTACGATGTTAATTCGTTCCAGCGAAATCGCTGTAGAATGAAAACATCGTAAAGCGATTTTAAAAAGCCCATAGAAACGCATTAAAACCTGATTAATGCATTCCTATGGGCTTGAAACTCACCGTCCAGCAAAGATCCTCCATAGCACGGCCATTTTTGCTGCCCATGCAGCAAGGAATCTGTCCCAGAAAACAGCGGGCGGCCATTTTTTTAACCCGACGGCCATTCTGAAACCGCCGATCAGCTGTGTGAAAATTGTCGTTTTGTGATAATCGGTTAGCAAAGCAGGGAACTGATCATCGCAAAGCGAAAAAAACCCATAGGAAACATCGTTTTGCGATCGCAAAAACTTCATCGTTATGCGATTTCGACGTAAAACGAAGCACTCGTCTTCCAAGGCACCACCGTACGAGCGCTCCATTTGAAACCTGGAGAGAGACGGGGCTGGTGGATGGGGGCCGCGCGCAGGCCAAAAGCTTGAATCAGGGCAGAGAGTCTGTAAAAAGACGCCTTTCCGGGTCCGCACTTAAATTGCTCCTCGGTTCCAGGGCGAAAGGCTAGCGGGTCGGCCGAAGCAGCAAATGCATGGATTCTTGGGGGAGAAAAAAAATGATTTCTACCCAGTGGCGTTTCATGGGCTTCGTTTGAAACTGCCAGGTTTAGGAGCCGTTTCTGGGATGAGGGAGGCTAAGGAACCCAGGGATTCATAAGCCTGTTGCTCCCAAGGGCGCAGCTTCGCACGCAGGACTCAGGCGGTCACTTCGGCTGCAACTTTTGTTTAAAAGTTGGGCCCAAGAACTTGGGCCGAGAATGTGAGAAACCGATACTGGTTTTGAGAAAAAAGTGTTTTCTTTTTTGGGGGGGGGGTGGCGCCCCATGGAGAAACACTCAGTGCTTTGGGTTCTTCCTCTCCACCACCAGCAAGATCAGATTTTCAGATGCTCTTCCTGCCTGCTTTAGTCTTCTCCTTCCCTCCTCCTCTCCCCTCCAAATCTCATCAATCCTTCAAGATTTTGGAGGGGGGAGAGGACCCGATCCTATGAAACAAGACAAAAGCATTCATTCCTCCTCCTCGGTGATTTGTCAAAACCCCAAGAAGCTTCTCGCGTCGACATATTTGGGGAGTCCAAGATTTGGCTGCTTTTATTCTTTGCGACGACAACCCTGCGAGGCAGGCCAGGATGGTGGGATAGATCCTAGTGCAAGTTCAGCTGCTGGATGTGTTCGTGGCTCCAGGAGGGCTCGAACCGGAATCCCGAGTCCCAAAAGCCCTTTCTCCCACATCCGTGACTCCTCTTTTCCTCCCTCCCCGCCCCTGAGGTGTGGAGTATCTCCCAACAATGCCTGGGAAATTAAAATGGCTGGTGGCAGCCCCTAGGGCCCGCTGAAAGAGGAAGGGGTTCACCGGGCAAGACTTTGCCCACGGCTCCCTTGATGCCGGAAAGGGCCCCAAACAGTGAAGGAAGACAGGGGGTGAAAAACCAGAGTCCAGAATGGCCAGGAAATGGGGTGACCTGATCTCTTTTTTACAGGACATGGACACTGAAGTGCTTCTTATGCCACATCCTCTCCCAAGCTGGCCTCGGATCCCCTTCAACTTAGAAGCAACACGAAAAGGCTGGGTATGAACCGGACAGGATCCACTCCACCCTAAGTGAACCCCCTTTTTTGGAGAAGCCAGGGAAATGTGGCGCAGCTGGGACAGCCAGGGCGTTTCAAAGAGTCCTAGCGCGGAAGGCACCGGGCGGAGCAAAGAGGGTTCCTGGCCTTTTCGAGCACAAAAGGGGACTCCACGTCTTCCTCTGGCTATCCCTACGGTGGGGGCGGCGGCGCAGCTTTAAAACAATCTAAGAGTACCCATTTTCTTTTTAAGGGAAGGAAAACAAAACCTGAAATTACCAAGCTTTTAGACTAAACGGTAGTTCATAATATATATATATATTTTTATATATATATATACATATACATATACGTGTATGTATACATATATATATATATTTGTTTTTTTTCATATAAAAAGTCATGTCACACAAACACAGTCCTGCCACAGTGGTTAAACCCCGGCCTTGGTGGCGTCGTCATCATCATCCTCTTTCTTGTCTTTCTTTCCGTCCCCCTCACCCTCCGTCGCTTCGTCCGTGCCCCACCTCCTCTTCCGGCTTGGTGCGCCCAGGCGGTTCCTCGGCAGCGGCAAGGGCTCCACGCCGAGGATCCTGTGAATCTGACGGAAGGCCAACATCCGCAAAGCGTGCTGGGGAGAGGTGGTGGAGCAGGAGGAGACACGGGGTTACCATGGGCGGCCCGCCCACCCACCCACTCCCACCCCTCCGGGAGCTGCTGCTGGGTCGGGATTCCGGGGGACTGTCCCCTGTGAGGTCCTGGCAACCAGGGCCACCGCACATGAAGGAGACTGAACAACAACGGGAAAACACTGAACTTGAGATTTTTGTTGGGCTCGGGGGGGGGGGAACCAGCTGCCTTTGCCTTTAGATCCTAACCTGGCTTAACATAAAAGGTATATGACGAGCTTCCCCAAGTGGCCAGAAAGGTGGGCTGCGCAGATATCTTGTAGCTTTGGGCAACCTAGAGGAAGGCACAAAACCCGTGGAAAGTGGCCCTGCAGGACTGGAGAGGAAGCCCAGCGTGAAAGGTGCGTGGCCCATGTGCACACTGGCCTTACCTCCTCTCAGTTGGGGGGGGAAGCAGACTGAGACGAAACCCACCTGGCTGCTGGCGGTGATGTCCTCCCGTTGCTGCCGGGACAGGCCTCGTAAGGCGTCGAGCGGCTCCTTCTCACAGGGGTCTTGAAGCCCTGGACCATCTGAGGGGAGGGGAGGGAAGGGTTAATGCTTGGAGAGCATGGGGGAAACAATGACCTCCCTCCTCCCTTCCACAGGCTTTTGGCCTTTCCCATCACAACAGAAAGCCCAGAAACACTCTTCTCCCTTTCTCGGTCGCACGCGTGCCAGGATTCCCTTCTACACTGCTCTCCCCCCCCCCCGCTTCACCAACAACTGCACATCTCTCCGCCGCCATGAGGACCAGGAACTTGTTTGTTTAAATAGAAAAGCAAAGGTTTTTTCAGTTCCAAAAGATGGAGCCACATCAGCCTGCCTTGGTGTGTCAGCAAAAGAAAAAGAAAAGGAAAAAAAAGGGGGGAGGCATTACACAGTACAAGAAAACAGGTTTTTAAAATCTGCTTCCATGAAACACTCTGTAACTAAAGATTTACGAAAGTTTGTCTCTAACCCAGGACAGAAAGCTTGGGGCTTCACTGAGGCTCATGCAGTGCCCTCTGGTGGCAGGCGCTGTCCAGAGAGGATGAGATGAGAAACTGGCCATCTTTTCAAGAGTGTTGGGATTGGAAACTCTTTTTTTTTTAACCCCAAATTTTCAGCGGTTAAAGGCGACCTGACTTTGGGGAAAGGTGGTGCTTCCAGCTGGGCGAAGATCCAGAACTCAAACCTAGTCTGCAAAAGGAACTTTCCCAAGCCCGGCGCTTTTGAGCTGGGACAACCCAGGCTACGCTGGAGAGTGGCAGGGGTTTGCCAAAAGAAGCCTAACCACATTGTAAGCTCTAGCTGTCACCGGGCAAGAGACAGAGAGAGACTGTTGTTTTCCTCTTTAAGCAAAATAATCTTTTCACCTGTAAGAAGAATCCCGGAGGCGACACACTCCAGGACCCGCCTCAGGGCTTCTGCGGGACCCAGCGGCCCGGTGGTGCTGCTCAGAGATCTTTCGACTAAGAGCTCCATTGCCTGATGGGCAGCCCGGGGGGCGGGGGGAGAGAGAGAGAGAGAAGAGACCTATTGAGGACTTTTAAAGAAGATATTGAACATGTGTTTGAAGGCCCGAAAGCGACACTGATCTCGTTAAAATACACACACACACACACACACACACACACACACACACACAGAGAGAGAGAGAGAGAGAGAGAGAGAGAGAGAGAGAGAGAGAGAGTGTATATCAATATTCTGTAAACCAACACGGTGGCATTCTCACTCTTTTTTTTAAAAAAAAATCCTCCCTACTTCCTGGTCTCCTTACCCATCCCGGAAGAGCGCCCCAGGTTGGCACGCGCTGGCAAAGGTCTCGTAAGACCCGGATGATGACGACGCATGACTGAAGGCCGTTGGCTCGGGCCTGGGGAGGGAAGGAGACAAGAAGCATGGAAGAACAAGAGTTGGAAGGGGCCGAAGAGCGGTATCCAAGCGGAACTCCTTTTCCTCCAGTCTGTATCTTTATGGAAAGCTTCTGCAAGGTAGCACCAGAAGAGGGGGAACACCGGGCCCAGCTATTTTCCCAAATTACAGACTGCAAAAGGGAGAGAAGAGCTTCGGATCTGGGAACAACCCTGCCTGCCTTTGCAGCCCAAGGCAGCCAAACTCCCCTTAGAAAAACTTCTGGTTATTGTTTTTAAAAATACTTCTGCTTACCTGGAACCATTTTGTGTGGCGAAGAGCGGCCAAAGACTCCTGGCACTTCTCCTTGTTGAGGATCTTGTCGGAGTCAGGCTGAGGTTCTGAAGCGGCTTCTGAAAGATACGAAAAGGGAGAAAGAAAAAAGGATGGGCGCGAGGGAGAGGAAGCAGGGAGGGAACCAAGAGGTGGCCGTCCCTCCTCCATGTCTGGGGCACCGTCGCAGTGAGTAAAGTTTGCCTTAAAGGTCAACGCTTCTTGCTTCCGCCCCAGAAAGGCGGCACGGGGGGGGGGAAGGGTTTTAAAAGAATAGCAGGTTTATTATGGCATCGAGAGAAATCTCTGGATGGAGACTGGAGACTCACCTGCCTCGAATGAGGCTTCTTCCCTCATTAGCGGAGAAGTGAGAGAGATGGTGACCTGCATTTTGGGCTCCTTGCACGAGGCAATGACCAAGCCGGCTTCCTCCACCTCAGCCACCACGTCGTAAGGATCGCTCGTCACTTTCTGGAAAAACAGGAGGGGAGCGTTAAGCCTGTCAGCTCCCAAGACTCAGGAGAAACATTCTTCTCCTTCTGGAGTTTGACCCCCGAAAAAAAAAAACCAACAACCCATGTTTAACACCATCACAGGCTTGGGGGGCAGGGAAGCTGAACTTACCTCCAACTGCTTGGGCAGCTGCTCGGCCACGCTCTGGAGGAGGCCCAGCGTGGGCTTCTGGGCCGAGAGCAGGATGAGATGAACCCTCCTATCTCCACGGAGGAGGAGTCCCTTGGCCAGGATACCGACCCTCATGACCCCTTTCAGGAGCCGGGGCGGATTGTCCGCCTTCCTGTTAAAAGGTCGAAAATGGAGGCGTAAGGCCACTGTTAGCTAGACCTCGCCTGCTTTCCTGTTCGGGGCACCCCCGTGGGAAAGAATACACCCACGCTGGAAGCGTCCGTGGGGTGAGGGTAGAGAGAGCAGGGGGCAAAACCAGCCCTTAGCAGGCGGTGGTCGAAGAGGAAGGCCAGAACGGGTAACCGTTCTCAGGCTAGAGTCGGATTCTCTGTTTCCAAGAGGCTTCTGGAGCCCCAAAACACCAGGAATGGTTGATGACAGGACCCGGGCCTTCGGGAAAGGAACATCAATGTTTCAGAACCAGGGAAAAGGCATAATAATCTGGGAAACCCCTCCAGGAGGAGATGAAAGAGAATGAGTTATGGTCCTCAGAGCGTCAGACTTGGAAAACCTGAGCATCCTACAAAATCGGGGGCCACCCAGAGGTTTTAGGATCGGACTCTGGACTCTGAGGTTCCTCCTGGCTGGTTAAAAAAAAGTTCAGACCCAGGTGACGACAGCCGGGGCTTTGCCCAAACGTTCTCCTCACCTCTCCTTCCCTCCCTCGCCCTTCTCACCCATCTTCGTGGCTCGCTTCCTCCTTCCCGGCTTCCTGTTCCGTCAGCCAATCGGAGACGAGCCTTAGGGCCCGCTCTGAGTGCGAGACGGCCTTCTGGATGCCCTGGAGCTCCTCCTCGGTCGGGTAGATGCTGGCGTGCTTCGCCATGACGTGCCGGTCGTCGGACGAGGTGGGCCGCCGTGCGGGCTGGCGGGGGGAGACAAAACGGGACAGGCTTTTATAACGACTGCTCTGGAAAGAGATAAAAAGGGCAGAAAAAGAAGAGGGACCCCTTTGTCTACTGGGAACAAAAACACAAGAGACCTTATGGATCAAGCCCAGTATGATAACTAATCTGGGAAAAACCTGAGAAGGCTAGGGTGTGGGTACAGAGGAGAAGGTACCCACCAAGAGAGGGGGGACAGGCACACCAGGCCTGCCCATGAGGGGCGGAGGGTGCCAATCCACGGCCAGGTGGCGCCGTTGCTGCTCGGCCCAGAAGAATTCCTCCTCTTCCACCCGCTTCCAGTACATCTCCTGTTCGTAGCGCCTAGAGGACCACAAGGAAGAAAAACGGAAAATGTGCGCTGCATTACATTAGCCTGGATGTCTGGGCAAGTCAGCCTCCCTCTCTGTCTTTTGGGGGGGGATTTCCCCCCCACATCCCCACCTGCTAGAATCCCCAACTGTTCAAATGGGCAGGGCTGGTGAAATCTGGCTTTTTGGAGAGAATCCCAGATTATACTTAGACCAGATTATACCTAGCATGCTTCAAAGCTCGGTTAAAGTCTGAATTGGGGCTTGCCCCTCACACCGAGCTTCCATGCTTTCTTTCTTTATCTGTATCAAACCGTTGCTCTGTTTAAATTTAGAACAATTTTTGCTTCCTGACTGAGCCACAAAGAAAGAATAAGCTTTAAAAGCATGCTTTTGTAGAAATGTTATGGGAAAGGACTATGAACTCTGAGGTTAACTGGCAAAACGGAGGTCCTAGCGCACAGTGTCTTACAGCTGCTGAAAATCCCTGCTCACTTTTGTAAGAGCCAGGTGCCTAGTCCTCATGGTTCTCGAAAGGAATCTCTGCCTACCTATCTGATAAAAACGGCAGCTGGAGTAATTCGGGCAATTTCTCCTTCACCCCAGTACTCCATCATCCTCAGTGACTGAAGCCAGACACACAAGCATAGATCAACCGACCCCACCGCTTTTGTATGATCCTGTCCAAACATTACTCGTTTGGATTATCCCACCAGAATGGCCAGAGGCTGCAGCTGCTGACGGAGACACTGCAGAAATCAGGGTTCAGAAAATTCAGTGTCCTAAGCTCAGGCCACAAACAACAAAGACTGGATCGGAGTCACGTTCAAAGGGGGGGAGAAAAGACTCTGAAAAATCCAAGACTCTCTCAAACTGGTCTGCTTGCCTTAAACGAGAGGGCATGAAGCAGTTTCTGTTCTTACTGATAAGCCACTAGAAGTGCCGATCCATCGCAATGCGGAAGCCACTGGGGGGCAAGGTATTTAAGCAGCATTCGTGACAAAGCAATTTGAAAAACCAAAGGCTGGGCAGAGTTAAGAGTTACCTCTACTCACCCACTGGGAGTAGGGTGGTGGGTGATTTAGGGATGGAGTATTTCCACAGTGGAACTCTCTGCCATAAGATGAACCCTTCTACAGGGCCTTAGGGTTTCCCACCTCTGTCCTAAAGCACATTTTGAGACAACCTTCAATCCAGCCTGGTTACGGCTCTCCCATCCTCTTCCTGAAGAATTGTGGGGACCCTTCCACCCTGTAAGAACCCAATTCTTTCTTTCTTTCTTTAAGGAAAGAGGAGAGAGAGGGAAGGAGAAGCAGAGGAGCCAACAGTACCCCAGAGCCATTCCATATTTGGGCATTCCTCTCCTGCGGGGAAGAAGAAGACTCGCCTCATTTCCAGGTGCCAACGCTGCTCTTCCACCTGGCGCCGCCTCGCCAGGGCCCGGAGCTGCTGGCTTTTCAGCTTCTCTTCCTGCATTTTCCGGGCTCGGTTGCTGGGCTTGACCTCCACCGGCAGCTCCGGGTTGACTTTCTTCTGCAACAGGTTTTTCCAGGGTGGAGAGGAAGGCAAACAAACAAACAATAAATAAATAGCGGGCTGTCCACAGACATAGATCCAAACCCTTCTTCCCAGTGGCTTCCCGGCTTGTGTGCAAGCACCCACTACAGCCCACCCTCTACTAGTCTTCGCAAAGCCTTAAAAAATCCAAATAGGCTGCAATTCTGAGTGCCACCTCTTGGCCTTTGGAACCATCCGCTACTGCAAAAAGGGCTCTCGATAACTTCTCTGAGGCTGTATTTTTGACGTATTTTGGGACAAAAGAGGTTTCTGCGCCCCTGGTTTCTGGGCAAAACTTTTTCTGGGAGGGAAGTAGAAGAGCTGCCCCCTCGAGACACCAATCCAGCCAGGAAAATTTTCATGCAAAAAAAAAAAAGCAGGCATCCCCAGCACGGTGCTCCAGTGACTCCTTTAAAATGGGAGTGGACTGCACGTGGCGCAGGACTGAGATGCCCCTAAGCCACTGTGGAGAAGGGCAGTGGTGGCACCTTAAAAGACTGTTTGATTTAATGCCAGATCCTGCCGAACTGCGACACAATCCATGAATGCTAATGCCCCCCAAAAAACTTATCAGCCTTTAGGGCCCCGTGTCTTCCGGTCTGTCCCCCACAGAGCGGGAAACCCCACTGGCTCAGTATCAAGCGGTGGGAAAGCCCCACCACCATGTGAGCTCGCTCGGTCACCAGCCTGCTTGGTTTGCCTTTGCGAGTCCGTCTTTTGGATGGTGTTTGGTTTCTATGGGAGGGGCTCGGCGGCCGCTATACCTTGTACTGCAGCCGGTGCCGGCGCCCCTTCAGGTGCATGTCCTTGGCGTTGGGGTCATTGAAGCTGCATTCACACAACTTACAATGGAATCGCACCATCTTTCCCTTGTCACTGAGCACAGCCTGCTTGGTTTGCCTTTGCGAGTCCGTCTTTTGGATGGTGTTTGGTTTCTATGGGAGGGGCTCGGCGGCCGCTATACCTTGTACTGCAGCCGGTGCCGGCGCCCCTTCAGGTGCATGTCCTTGGCGTTGGGGTCATTGAAGCTGCATTCACACAACTTACAATGGAATCGCACCATCTTTCCCTTGTCACTGAGCACCTGGA